GCATACATCTTTCATCGGCTGCCATCCATAATCGAATTTAAAGAAATTAAATGCATAGGTGCAATTGGAATCAAGATGGCAACCGAAAGAACTTACAAAATTATTTTACCGCGCCCCCTGGCCCTGAACCGTTCGACTCTCTCCTGGAGGAGTCGAAGGGCGGGGGCCAGGAAGGAACGCGGCCACAAGAAAAGACACCTACCGTTGCCGATGCTGAAAGAATCCTAACTAAATTAATTTTTATAGCGCTAAATCGATCTACGGATTCTACTCGACATCGGTAATTCATAATTTTCATAAGATCGAAAGGCCAAGCCCAGCTCGCACTACGGCCCCAGGGTAGTGGAAGGCTTGACCGAAAAAACCTGAAAACCCTGAAACCGACCCCCTCGTCGAGGCGGCGACTCTAGGACGCAAGCTCATCGAAGTGCCCCCTCGACTCGGGTGTGGCTCCTCGCGTGATATTTCTCCCACATCTTTATTAAATTTTTTCTTTAATCGTTCAAAGAAATTCCGCGGAACCGGCGGCCTCGAAGTCGGAGGGTCATCCGACTTCCCGGCGCTCGATTAAGGATCGCGATCGGAAAATTACCGCGGATCCGGGAGAAATCTATTTCTACTCTAAAAGAACACACGAAAAACAGAAAATCAACACGACCACTCGCGAGTCGGCGAGACATCGTTTCGTCGACTCGCGGTCCCTCGAATCAAAATGTAAACATACAACCGATCCCCGTGTCGGTACGGACCTTTCGTCCTGCGACGTGAAGGGATCGGAGGAAGGAAACGTTGAGACTTACCAACGGGACGATACGTCTTTTTCTGGCGGTACTCCCCCAGGAGATCCCTCCGCAGAGACCTGGGGTTTCTGGCCTCCTCTCCATCTGCCTCCCTTCGACGTTGGCTCTGCCTGCATTCCACCTTTGTGTCCGCTTCCACTGCTTTCGCTGCTTTCGCTGCATCCGCTGCATCCGCTGCATCCGCTGCATTCGCTGCATTCGCTGGATACGCTGCATACGCTGGATACGCTGGATACGCTGCCTCCGCTGCCTTCGCTGCCTTCGCTTCCTCTTCCTCTTGCTTCATTGAACGATAATATTATATTACAATATAAACAATATTATATTAGATTATGATGTGAAAAAAATAATGTTAATCCTTGGTACTCACAATCCATGATCACTGCATTCCACCTTTATGTCCGCTTCCGCTGCCTTCGCTGCTTCCTCATCCTAACCACTCCATCTCGTCATCTACGAAGCGTCCCTTGCCCCTCGTTACGATCACTGGATGCCATCGATTATGAATTATAGCACCACACTGATATAAATGTCGATCGTGGTATGTAATGCGTCCCTCGCGCCCCCGTCATTTTCTTAATTTTCGACGACATCTTATCGCGGCAAAATTTCAGGAGCAACTGGCGATCCGCCGGCCGGGCCGCAATCCCCGGCCGTGACCGACTCCGTGACTGGACGACGTCACCGGCCCGATAAAGGATCGACCAATCATGGTCCTTTATCGGGCCGGTGACGTCGTCCAATCACGGAGTCGGTCACGGCCGGGGATTGCGGCCCGGCCGGCGGATCGCCAGTTGCTCCTGAAATTTTGCCGCGATGAGATGTTGTCGAAAGTTAAGAAAATGACGGGGGGCGCGAGGGACGCATTACATGCCACGATCGACATTTATATCAATGTGGTGCTATAATTCATAATCGATGGCATCCAGAGATCGTAACGAGGGGCAAGGGACGTTTCGTAGATGACGAGGTGGGATGATTAGGAAGTGGAAGCAGCGAAGGCAACGGAAGCGGACATAAAGGTGGAATGCAGTGATCATGGATTGTGAGTACCAAGGATTAACATTATTTTTTTCACATCATAATCTAATATAATATTGTTTATATTGTAATATAATATTATCGTTCAATGAAGCAAGAGGAAGAGGAAGCGAAGGCAGCGAAGGCAGCGAAGGCANAATCGAATAAATGTGCAATACGCTCGGACTGCGCATCCTCGGATCGCAGGTCGTCGTTTTGCTAGCTTTTGGATCTCCCCGCGAGTGATTTTTTTTTTATTTTTTATTAATCCGACAAATCAGGGGATTGCCAAGCGTTCGAGACGTAGGGGGCTCTGCCCGAAGAGACTGCAAGAGTCGAAGAGGCTATATGCCGAAGCGGCCCCTTAAGAAGAGGGCAACTGCGATGGTCTTCCGTTCTTTCGAACGGACAATCATCATTTTTTTCGCCACGTTGTCCCTCTCATTTTTTGTATATCTTGCTGTCTGGATTGACGGGGAGAGACGGTGAACTAGCGTTTTCATGAAATTTTCTCGAGTCTGCATTCAAGTAAGATAAATATATTAGATTTTTGTCACGCCAAGTAATGTGTAACTGAATACATTTTTACTGGATCAATTATACGAGATCGATGCCCTGCGAAATATTCTTGACTTTAATGGTAACTTTAGGAAGTTATTAGCTCTTGTATCACCGTCTCTTTCTCGCTTTCCTAATGGTTTCGTATGTGCCTTTGTGTTCCCTTTCAGCTTTAGGTGGACCACTTCGGAGAATCTGGCGACTTCCTGGTGTTTCTTCAATATTCCATTTTACCTATACTTTTGTGCCCCTTTGCAGGTTTAGGTGGATCACCTGGAAGCAGCCATTTTTGGTAAAATCATCATGGGCAGTTAATGGAAACCACGCTTGCTGCACTTGTTGGTAGAAGATGTTAAAATATGTTAAAGGATGTTTGTGAATTTTTTTCGCGAGGGGGCAAAAAATGGTGAAAGCTAACGTACGAAACCTGAGGGCAGCACACGATGCGATCGCGCGACCCTGCCCGTGAGCAATCTCCTAACTCATCTCTGTAATGGATAGGACACTTCCAACTTGATAGAATTCCTCTATTTTTAATGATGATCCTATTAACGTAGACCCAGAAGTGGAAAGATTGTCCGTTATGCTCCAACATTTCCATTGCTGGATGTGGGACTAAAATCAGGAGTTAAAACAGGAAATAACGATTAGTCCCACGGAATGCAATAGTGCATCTGCATTTTGCATTATGCGCTTGCACTTTGCCCGCTTTCGAACGACCAGGAAAAGTCGATGCGAAATTCAGATTTTCAGGTTTCGGGACGCAAACTGGTTTCTCGGGCGTCCAGGTTGAATTGTTTTCCCTTTTTGTTTTATTTTAATTTTTATGCACCGAGAATGATTCAGCCGGCCCGTTAAAAAAAAGAATTCTTGAACGCTCGTCTCTCCTTTTCGAGATGTTAAATGAGTTTCCCGAAATATTTCGAGCCTTTTCAAGTGGCCGGGGAAGTTTCGCATTCATACGTGCGCAGAGAAATTCTTAAATAAACTTCACTTCTCCAAGTTCAATGCAGATTAATTGTCGCCCGATGTTTTCGGTTATTATTTATAGATGCATAGGATAATTAGCAATTAAAATGGATTTAACAGTCGGAAAGGTAGTACTTCAACATTTCATAGTATGAGCTCTAGATACCTGTTTCAATGGATGTAAAAAACTCGTAACCGCGAGTAAGACGGTTCTCATCTCCCTGTTTAAATCCCTCCCCACTTTCTGACACCTCTTTGCTCTGGTTTTCAAAGGATCAAGAGTGTTTTCACCCTTGATTACCCTCAGAAAACACCAGCAAAGCTTGTCTAGATGCTGTGAAGCGATACCGCAAGTGTTCAACAGTCGGTACACACCATAAAATGAATTAATATGAATTAAACCCAAAACTATATAGAAATGATCGTATAAATGAATTATGAAAATTGATATTATGGATCGACCATGTCATTATTATAAAACGATTTAATTTACGTTGCGGTTGCTTTGGTAGGCAGGAACGGAACTTTATTTTCATTTATACTTCTACACACGTATAAAAGTTAATCTTAAGGAGGTTCTTTTTCTCCATTTAAATCCCTCCCAGTTTCCGACACCTCTTTGCCCCTGTTTCGAAAGGGTTAAGGGAGTTCTTCAGCAACAATGTTCGTATTCCTTATTCATACTACCTATTCATTCTATCACTGCTACTGAGATTCTTAATGCCCATTATCACTTTATCTGTAAGTCTCAACGCATCCCTATCCCCATACACCTCCATCTACATTCAGAACCTATTATCGAGTAAAAAACTTCCTTTTCCCCATTTAACCCTTTCGTTACCTTGGACGAGATATCTCGCGATCCGGTAGTAGCGGATTATCGCTTTTGACGATAATCTAGCTTTCTAGCACCAATATTTTGACATTCTAGATGAATATATTTTATAACTAATTCTATTCGTATAGCTAAAAGGAAGAAATAAATACAGCTACTACCGGATCGCGAGATATCTCGTCAAAAGCGTTAATCCGTTACTACCGGGTCGCGAGATATCTCGTCAAAAGCGTTAATCGGCCAGTATTGGGTCGCGAGATATCTCGTCCAAGGTAACGAAAGGGTTAATCGGCCAGTACTGGGTCGCGAGATATCTCGTCCAAGGTAACGAAAGGGTTAAACCCCTCTCAGTTCCCGACATCTCTTTGCCCCTGTTTCGAAGAGGTCAAGGGAGTTCTTCAGCGCCGATGTTCGTATTCCTTATTCATATTACCTATTCATTCTATCACTCTTACCGAGATTCTTAATACCCATTAACACTTTACCCATAAGTCTCAACGCATCCCTATCCCCATACACCTCCATCTACATTCAGAACCTAATAATAAGAAAAGAACTTCCTTTTCCCCATTAAAACCCTCTCAGTTCCCGACATCTATTTGCCCCTGTTTCGAAGAGGTCAAGGGAGTTCTTCAGCGCCGATGCTCATGTTCCAGGAGCGCAACTGGTTCGCGGGGCATTTTCTCATTTTTCCCCAGGCTTCACGGTCGGCGGTGCAGGCTCGGGTTACGTTCCCCGGCACATCGTCCACGTCGTCTACATCATCTACATCGTGTACATCGCGCACATCGCGCACGTAGCGAGGCAGGGGAACTCACCTTGTGTGCTCGTAGCGTTTTACCCTCGCAGGCGAGCGTGACGTCGCAGTACGCTTGCCGCTCGAGGAGCTGTGAGAACATGGTCTGCAGGTTGCTGTGGTGATACTTCCATCTTAGGCAGTATTGCTGAGGAAACATGGTGGATGACGAGGGTGATGCTGAAGCCGATCCTGTACCGCTGGGTTGCTGAAGCATGCGCAAGCTGGGGGCCACCTCCACGCCCTCGGCGGCAAGGCTCACTGTCGAGGTTCCTTCTTCTTCCTCCTCACCTGGAATTTTTGCATCGTGTACTCCCAAACTTCAAGATTAACCTGGGTAAAATATCGAGTGACGAAGTATTTCTGGCTCCCGGGAGGAAAATTCACATTTTTACAGAAGGCCTTTGATCCTTTGCTCCTTTTTTTCCATGGGCGTTAAGGCGACGTGGAAGTGGCGCCAGAGGTCTCGCTTATGAAACTTCTTTTTTTTCTTCTGAACTGGGCTTATCGAATCGATTGAAACTGTATCATGGAAATACGAAGGCCTTAAGGAAGATCCTTACCTTCATGGAATTTCAATTTTTTTTAAATATGTTTATATTTTTCGCTATGTTCACGCTGTTTCTAACGTTTCGGTACATCGAGGTTGCAAAACGGTTTGATGAACGATTCACTCCTCGGATACCAGGATAATGGGCAGGATAATTGAAAGAAGGCAATTTTCCTAGGGTGAAATATCTAAAACGGATGTACAAAAAAAAGTGTCAATGTTCATAGATTTCCTCAGGAAATATTAACTCTTTTCGTCTCGAAGAGAAGGGGAGATAGATAATCGAAGCAGTTAGATTTTTCTCGGCGAATATATCCAAAATGCATTAATTAAAAAAGTGTTACTATTCATGAGTTTTTCTCCGGAAATATTAATTTTTTTCGTCTCGAAGAGAAGGGGAGCGGGATAATCGAAGCAGTTCGATTTTCCTCGGCCAAGATATCCAAAATGCATTAATTAAAAGAATGTCAGTGTTCATAGTTTTTCCTCAGGAAATATTAATCCTTAATGTCTCGCAAAGAAGGAGACTGGATAATCGAAGCAGTTCGTATTTCCCCGGCCAATATATCCAAAATGCATCAATTAAAAAAGTGTTACTATTCATGAGTTTTTCTCAGGAAATATTAACCCTTTTTGTCTCACAAAGGAGACTGGATATTCGAAGCAGTTCACTTTTCCTCGGCCAATATATCCAAAATGCATTAATGAAAAGAATGTCGATGTTAATAGTTTTTCTCAGGAAATATTAACTCTTTTCGTGTGGGAAAGAAGGAGACGGGATAATCGAAGCAGTTCGATTTTTCTCGGCCGCATCGGCACTCGAGAGCATTAGAGGCAAATCTCCCCCATCATTGGCCACATCATTCCTTTCATCCCGTTTCCCTTACCCCAGGATCAGAAGGCTCACCAGTTTCCTCAGCCTCGTCGACGTCCTCGTCGACGCCGGACCAATCGCTGATCCTCTGCTCGAATTCGAAGCGATCAGGGTCCTCGATCTCTCCGGTTTCCTGAGAGTCCTCGACCTCGAGCAGCTCCTCGAAGTCTCCTTTCAGCCAGAACGATTCGCCGCCAGCTTTACTCCCTTTGGACCCGGTTTCGATTATTCTTTCCCGGAGGTTTCCTCTCCCCTCCTCCCACTCGTTATCCTGCAAAATTAAAGGGAAATCCCCTATAAGTTTCCGGGAGAAAATGCGCCCCGAAACGAGAAAAAGGACCCCCCGCGACGCCCGAGAGCTCCTCGAGAGCTTCTTCATATTTTCGGCACAATGTCGGATTCCAACCCTCGAGATGACTTTTCTTCAACTTCCATCGAGGAAAACAATGATACGAGATGGACTTGGAGTTCCTCCACCTTTCTTTTTTATTTTAAACTTTTCCAAACTGACGTTTCCCTTCCCGAGGTTACGGAAAATTAGGAGGCTCATCTCGAACGTATGTATAAACATATTAAAATTGGAGGATATTGCTCCTCCGGGGTAATTTTACTAACTCGTGATCTTAACGGATTTATAAAGACGTAAAAATGGGAATACATTGTTTCTCTAGCGTACACTGTCAATCTTATGTACTGAAAGTGCATGAATACTTTGAATACTTTTAACAAAGGAAATTCGCTAATAACTGGGAACAGTGTTGGTGGAAAATAAATAATCGGTTTTGCTCTTACTCGTGACGCTTTAATCAATTTTCCTCAGGTTTATTGATTTTCATCGGAAAATCAGATGACTGGATGAGAAAATCTGGCTCAACTTTTTCTCACCCATGGGGTGTCTATTTTTTTTTTCCCCTATTAGAAGTCATAAAAATCGAAGCAAAATTCATACGTCTTTTAAGGGCGATATCATGTGCAAGAGCTTTGAAGTAACGAGTACCGGAAATAATTATTTCCCAAGTTTTGCTCTTACTCGTAACGCTTTAATCAATTTTCCTCAGGTTTATTGATTTTCATCGGAAAATCAGATGACTGGATGAGAAAATCTGGCTCAACTTTTTCTCACCCATGGGAGGGTGTCTATTCTTTTTTTTCCCCCCTATTAAAAGTAATAAAAATCGGAGCAAAATTCGTACGTCTTTTAAGGGGGATATTATGTGCAAGAGTTTTGAAGTAACGAGTGTCGGAAATAATTATTTCCCAAGCGGCTTTCTGGTATACTTATTTCGAATAGGTATTTCTCAGGTGATCGGACAATCTTTCCTCGGCGGGGTTTGCGTTTCATAATATTTCGAGCAGGCACTTCGGAGAGTCGCTTTAGAAGTGACTATTTCTCAAATAGATATTTCATAACTTCGCGGAGAAATACGGAGGTAATTCCCGAGTGCTCGAATGTTTTCCACATAAAACGGGCGTTTTAAACATTTCTTCGGGGAATTCATTCGAAACGGTTGACGTTCTTCTCTCCGTTTCCTACTCGAAATAATAGTTTGTCCAGTATTGTTAGAACGCCAGTCGATAGGACGGGCATTGAATAAATGATAGTAATAATAGATCCCGATGTTGGCTACCTACTCGTTCGATATCTATTCAGCTAAATCAGAGCAGGAGACATAAAATCCGATAGAAAGCAATATTTTCCTTTTCCTGAGAAATCCACCGACGCCGTTAACATCGTTCCTTAACGCACGTTCTATATATTTTCTACTTATTTTACAAATAAGAATATCAAATCGAGGTTTAAGGCGATGTGAAAGTCGCATCTGAGAGGTCAATCCTTCATGAAACATTTCTCCATGAACTGGGTGTCTTGAATCGTTTGAAACTTTATTACGCGAATGTAAAGGCTAGGTCTTAACACCCATGAAATTTCATTTTTTTGTAATATGTTTTTAAAATGTCTACACACAACTTTTTAAAAAATTGGAATTTTTCGGGACATTCTTTGTAGCCTCCAGATTCAAGTTGTAAAGTTTGAAACGATTCGGTATAACCAGTTAGGAGAAGTGTTTCATAAACAAGTCCTTGCCGCTTTCACATCACCTTAAGGTTCATACGAGAAAATTGCATCTGGGTTGAACAAATGGATATTATTTATTCTGTTTCATTTAAATACAGACTGGCTGAAATTTGATTTTTCTTCCCGGTAAACTGGTTCAATATCTTAATTTAAAATACACGATTGGACAACATTTTCGATTTAAAGAATTTGTTTAAAATAAATCCCCTCTGAAATTTCTACATTCACCATCGATTCCTATTATATTCAAAATAAGTTTGGCTGTATTATCACACGCGTATGAAAAAACCACTTTACATGAAAAATATACCTTTCAATCGAAATTAATTATTCACATTTCTTCGCATAGTATGGTTTAAATTCTTTTTCATTTAATAAATAAATATCCATGGAAAGGTTTTCGCGCGCAGAACTCGCCTTAAATCCGGGAAAAGCACGTGAAGAGGGCCGGGGGGCGGGGAGGGCGGAAATTCGAGTAATTTCCGATCACATTACACGACCCCTCGGATTTGCCGGCGATTCGATCGATTATTCCTGAAGGGTCATATGTTAGTCGAACGTAGATACGTCAAATGAAACCTGATAAAGAATACCCTGCGCGGGGCGAGTTTTTATCCTCTTTCATTTACTAACCCGATGCGATCGGTACATATCGAGAATTCCATGTACTTCGAGCTATATTCCTCCATTCTGCCGTACGCTGGCGAGTACTTTAACCAAATCGAATGTAATAAAAATGAATCCGTGCCGATGGGGCATAATTGCTCCGCACGAGTTCGGAATCCGTTCGAATTATTTCTGGCGATTTCCTTAATTCGGGTAAATTCGAATCCGATGATTATTCGAGCTCGAGGATATCATAAATATTAAGGGGAAATATAAAATATTTAACGTAAAGATGATCGGCCGAGGATTACAATGTGAATTATAAGTGATCGGTTGTTAATATGTAGGATGTGCGTGGATTAAAACATTTTTTTTTTGTCGTCATTACAATAGCAATGAAATAGTGTACAATTGAAAACTACAATAAGTACCGAAGACATGTACATTATGCAGTTATTGTGATTAATGTTGCACTCCTTTGAGCATTTCTATTATTAGTATTTTATTAACGTTTAACATTACATACATATATATATATTATGTACGTATATTTCTGTAATTATAGTTATAGACTGCACGAACATCATCGGTATTTATTAATATCTAATTTTTTTACTACTTGACCCTCCGTATCGTTTATCGAACTTATCGCCCGATAAGCACACGGAGCTGTAACTGCGCGTAAAAAAGCTTCGAAAATCAGAATTTAACATTACATACATATATATATATTATGTACGTATATTTCTGTAATTATAGTTATAGACTGCACGAACATCATCGGTATTTATTAATATCTAATTTTTTTACTACTTGACCCTCCGTATCGTTTATCGAACTTATCGCCCGATAAGCACACGGAGCTGTAACTGCGCGTAAAAAAGCTTCGAAAATGAGAAATTCCAAATAAGGCTGAAAAGCGACTCTCGGATGCAAAATCGACGATAAGAAGTTTGCTCGAGTGCCGCTTATAGTGGTTCTTGATTCCGTGGAATTATTGCAAAATTTGTAGATAAGAAATGCATATGACGAGGAAGATGGTTCAGTGAACGTAGGCTACATGTATGGATATCGTTATCTGGACGTTATCTCCCTTTTAAGTAACTACGTACTCACTATCAATTTTTAGTCGAGGTCTTTTCGAGCTCTTCGAGTGATTTTCGAGCGTTCTCGAAATATTTAGATATATTTTGAAATATTTAGAAATTTTTTTCGAGCGTTCTCGAAATATTTTGAAATATTTAGAAATATAATTCGTGGTCCACGAATCTGCCAAAAAGTTCGATGACGTCATGCCGTGGGGGTTAAAACGAAAAATGACTAATACCGAAGACATTTCAAATGCGCACTTGGCTTCCCCTATTAATGCGCATGCGCCGTTCAAGTACGAATCATTTTTTACCGAGTATGAGTCATTCGATAGGGTCCTTAGAAATTGGCTCGGAAAATGCGCAATAAATACGCAGCATGGAGTGCAATTCCCCCCCATCGTGAATCGATCGATAACATTTTAATACTGGGAAGAACGGCGAGGTGAAATTGAATTTATGATTTTTATTTTAACCCGTCCAGAGTTGTTAAATAGAAAGAAATCCACTGGAATTAAATGACCTGAGATTTATCATTTCTATCGTAACCGGTTATGCCCTAAAATGCATTGAATTGAGGCCTGTCATTTTTATTTTATTTTTTTTATTTATTATTTATTTAACCTGTACGAAGTTTCGAATGATAAAGTTATATCACTGAAATTCAGTGAATTAATATCTATGATTTTTATATCCCGAATGATGTTTTAAATAAGAAGGATGTTCCACAGTAAAATGCAGTGAAATGAAAAAATTGTTACACACTGGAATACAAAGAATGTTGTACATTGAAAGTATGAACAAGTATTGGAATTTACAGTTTATCGGAAATTATTTAAATTAGTAAAGCAGATCTTTGACAGTACTTTTTTTCGACAGGGCATGAGCACGGTATTTCGAAGAAATGCAGGGAATAAAAAAAATTGAATTTAAAATACGGGAAGAAAAATAATTGTTCGAAAAGTGATATTTCAGCCGAGTAAAAAAGAACCTTGTTTATAGAGTTTCGTAAATGAGTCACACGGTAGAATCATCAGAAATTGGGCGGACAAAGGCGTAATAAATTCGTCACACTCGCCGGACGCGACCCTCTGAATTTGAATCGATCGATGGAGTTTCAACGTGTGGGAGAATGAAAAAGTCATTCGGAATATATAATTTTCACATCAGTCGAAACAAACAAGGCCGGGACAAATCCGATATACCTAACCAGATATTATTTCCCAATTTGAAACTTCACTGAAATGTCTGAAAACGTGATAAATTCTGAATTAAAAAATATTGGAGTTATACAAATTACGGCCTTATAATGATTGTGGGCTATATAGCCCCACTTTCATGGGAAAAATATCTCAGAACTATATAATCGAATATCTATAAAGTTTACGTGGAATAAAAATAAAAAAGCAGAAGACTCGAGGTGACAAACGTGGAGGCGTAAGGGCGAAATCTCCGGTTGATGAGTGCGTAATCATTGAGGGGCCATATAATCACGCTTTCTTGGCAAAAATATTTCCGAACTATACAATCGAATATCTATAAACGTTACACGGAATAAAAATGAAAAAGCAGAAGACTCGAGGTGACAAACTTGGACGCGTAAGAACGAAATCTCCGGTTAATGAGTGTGTAATCATTCATGAGTACGTAATCATTGAGGGACCGTATAATCACGCTTTCTTGGCAAAAATATTTCCGAACCATAAGATCGAATATCTATAAACGTTACACGAAATAAAAATGAAAAAGCAGAAGACTCGAGGTGACAAACGTGGACGCGTAAGGACGTAATCTCCGGTTGATGAGTGCGTAATCATTGAGGGGTCATAAAATATTTCCGAACTATATAATCGAATATCTATAAACGTTACGTGGAATAAAAATGAAAAAGCAGAAGACTCGAGGTGACAAACGTGGACGCGTAAGGACGTAATCTCCGATTGATGAGTGCGTAATCATTGAGGGGTCATACAATCACGCTTTCTTAGCAAAAATATTTCCGAACTATACAATCGAACATCTATAAACGTTACACGGAATAAAAATGAAAAAGCGGAAAACTCGAGGTGACAAACGTGGACGCGTAGAGGACGTAATCTCCGGTTGATGAGTGCGTAATCATTGAGGGGTCATACAATCACGCTTTCTTGGCAAAAATATTTCAGAACTATACAATCGAACATCTATAAACGTTACACGGAATAAAAATGAAAAAGCGGAAAACTCGAGGTGACAAACGTGGACGCGTAGAGGACGTAATCTCCGGTTGATGAGTGCGTAATCTCCGAGGGGCCGTACAGTCACGCTTTCTTGGCAATTCAGGTCCTCTTCAGACGAGTGGACATTAAGGTCAGAAATTCGAGTAATTTCGAGATCGCCCATGATTCGGCTCCTCCGATTGGCCGGCAATTCGATCGATGACTCATGGCCTTTCTTCGGCCGCGACGACACAATGAAATCAATTGAACTCGAAGGACGGCTCGGCCGTGTGCGTGTCGATAATTTCGAAATGTTAGTGCGGCATAAAAAGACCCCAGCTGCGTCGGAAAAGTAGGGACAATATAAGAGAGACCGACCGCTCGCCTTTTTTTTTTCTCTCCTTCTCTTTTTTAAACTCCGTCACGAGCCACCAAGGACTCATGTCGGATTATATTTTCGCCGGGGAGACTTAGAAACGAGTCACACAATGGTCAGTTTCCATTTGATGTCGCCCCCCGCCGATGAAAAAGAAAAAGAGCAAGATAAAGAACGACTCAGGACGTGCACGGATACGCTATCCAAGTGTTGGAATTGTACGAGACTCGACTCTCATTTTTTTTTTTTTTTCAGTTCAAAGATAAAGTACACGTTGAACGATAGTAATTATTCGTTGGCATCGAAGAGAATTTTAAGTAATCGAAAATTCTTAGATGGCGTACATATCGCGATAAAATACGGAATTATTGTATCATTGTTGCATTTAGATATTTAAGGGTGAATTTGTCTATAGCTTAATGTTACAACCAGGGCTGGATCGAAAATGAAATTAGAAATTCTGACAATGCTATTTCATAAAATCCTTTAAGTTAGAAACTTCTGAAATACTATTTGAATGACTACTTCAAAGAGTAGGTATTTAAAATACTATTTTTATTACCCCTTCAAATGATGCATTTCTTAAATGTCATTTGCATTACTACTTTAAAGTATAAGTCTTGATAATATTATTTCATTTGAATGAAACTATTTTCAATATAAAATTCACATACTTTCTTCCCGAAATTAATCAAATGTATGATTGCGTTGGTATTCCCGTTGGTAAATGTAATTCCGCAAATGTAGCCGGGTCTCGACAAGTGAAGGATGCATCAGCGTGCTCCTCGTCTTCTCTCACGGTGCATCTACGACCTATTAACGGCACTGTCGTTGCATCCGGTTAACTTTACCAGCAACGAGAGTTATTCCTACGGAGAGTTCAGGATCTACGCGCACATCCATAATTGCATTTTACCTATAGGTGCATTGCCTTGCACACCATCGACGGAATTTAGGTCTCTCCGAGTGAGTACCACACTCACGCGGTATATCCTAGATTCATAGTACTTTCTATTGTATTTACGGATTGGATTAGACTACTTTTCCTACAGCCGTGGTGAAAATCCTCCGGAGTGACTCGCGAAAACCGCCGCCATCTTTGTTGCGCCTTTTTTATCGTCAAACATTACGAATTTCTATAAATTCCAAATTCTGTGTCAAATCGAAATATTATAATCTTATTATCTTGTTCTTCGAAGCTTTATTCAGACATGGTGTACTAATCTGACAAAGTATTTGCAAGAAATGTACGAAATGTGTTATACCTTGATGACCGCCGCCATCTTTGTTGCGGCTGTTTTATTCTTATACATTACGATTCGCACGAATTTCTATAAATTCCAAATTCTGGGTCAAATCGAAATATTATAATCTTATTATCTTGTTCTTGGAAGCTTTATTCAGACATGGTGTACTAATCTGACAAGGTATTTGCAAGAAATGTACCAAATGTGTTATACCTTGATGACGTGTTAAAATCTTGTGAAATTGCGCGGCGAAGGTAATATTAACTTATGTGCTAAATTCATAAGTTTCTTTAGAAATCTCTAATAAACGGGTACTGATTCACTTTTAGGACGTCAAATGTATAATTCTGCTGCAATCTTGGTGTACTAAAAGTGCCGGAATATTATGAACATTTCTAGCAGGGTAGCCATGTACATGATTTCATATTTTATCATCGGCCAGAAGAGATCGGGGACAATTACAATTCGGTACAATTGTATCATTGGTTATACGCATTACTAATATCGGATATATATGTAAAAAGTTGGTAACACTCTTTACCCGCGTCTGAAAATTATTCCACATAATACTCAAAGAAAGTAACTGCAGATAAGTGATTAAATTTCATTCCTGAAGTTATGCTACAGCGCGATATTTTGCTGGGATATTTCTGGGGCAAAGTATATAAAGAAATGCTCTAATTAAAACGATTACAATTGTCCCCGATCCCCTCCCACGTGTTCGAGAGTGAAGTTTAGACAAGTATGGCATTTCTTGTGGATTAATTTTCACATTGTTTCGATTTAATTTACTGTTCACTCAGGTGGACATCTAATGGCGTCGCGTTGGACAATAAGATACTCTGAAATGTCGAATGAGGTGGAAAACTCGACATGGGGAAAAAATGAAGGAGTCGGCGAGGGGAAATTGAAATATTTCCTGCAATTATGCGTTTCCGGAATAAACGACCCCCTCCCCTCGGGAAACACCCCTCGCCCCGCCGCTTCCGCCACGGCAGAACGAGTCCAAGATGGCCGCAATTCCGTGAGCTTACGTACAAGCAAAATGGCCTCGAACTCGCCTTACTAAACCGCTTATTTCTTCCACGTTATTCGAGCGCTAGAGCTCGCACATCTATCGCACGTTTTATCGGACAATGACGAAAGGAAAACGGGGAATTACAATCTTACGGCCCCTCGTAACGAAGCAATTCCTAAGCCCCGCGAAAATAACGCGCGCATAAATTTCGAGGAAGAAACTGCGCAGCAATGGCGGCGGGATGAATCGCCAAAGGGGGAAAAAGAAGGAAAACAACAAAAAATTAACGTCGAAGACAATGGATTACTTATAGCGACTCACATCCCTGATTTAAAAAACATTTTCGTCTTCCATAATTTCGACCGCTATCTTTCCAGCACTAAATATTTATCAGAATTATGAATTCAGTGATGTGACGTAACGGCGTTATGGCCTTCGTTTTATATGAAAATGAACGATCGTCGTTTATTAAATTGCAACGCATTAAAGATTCCTACCTCGAATTCTTAAAATAACCGACGCAGAGATACTGAATGGGAGATTTATGACGTTTTTACAGGCTCATATAGATTAATGTAATTATTAAAAAAATGCTCGTGTAAGTAGTGATCTATTTTGGAAAAAGGGAATGAAGGTGAAGTGCAAGAATACCATCGGAATCATATAGATTAATATAATTATTAAAAAATGCGCATGTAAGTAAAGCGTTCTATCTGGGGAAAAGGGAATGAAGAGGAGGTAAAAGAAACGGATTAAGGGATTATATCGCGTTTATAAATAGATATAAGGACCCAAGAGTCAAAAATATTCCAGTGACCACAAAGAGAAGCGCAACCCCGGAAGTGTCACCTCCTTTGACGTTTGCCGTCCCTCGCGAGTCACCCCTTTGACGTTTACCGCCTCACCCCCGCGGTCCTCCCTTCCACAGACTCGTCCCTAGCCCACAAGGTGTCCCCGATTTTAGCGGCGCTCCAAATATTAATATTAATTCCGGCCCACGGACGACGTGAATTAACATTATCCCCCTCGACCTAAAATAAAGCACTTTTTTCCTCCGAGGAAAAAAAGAATTAATCTCCCATTTCTCGCTGTTAAGAATTTCTATTTATTCTCTGGAGCGTTTGTTACACGCAGTAGATTCATTCGATTTAATTATATCGTTCACTCGTGACGTTTTCTACTCGGGATTTGAATTTTATTCCCACGATATAAAGGTTTCGCAGAAACGCAATTGAGTAAACGAGACGATGATTTCGGGAAATCAGAATCATCTTCGTTGAATCGTAATTGAACAATCGCGCTCACGGAGCGGATAACGCAAAAATACCCTCACCGAGTGCTCTCATTACCATTTTCCCCCGGATGCATTTTTCGGACTTACCGGCAGGAATTACGTTTCAAAAGGTCGAAATCTCCGCGAAATAAAAAAGGGGAAAAGAGAGAGGGGGGGGGAAGGGGCAGCGTAACAAGAGAAAAAAAAACACGTATTTTTCACCTGCAAAGTGGGGAGGCAAAGGAGAGAAAAAGGGGGAAAGGAAAAACGAGCAAGTCGCGGAAAATTGTGAGCGAGAGGGCATAAAACAAAGGGAGAATCGGAGGAGAGAGGGCCGGGCGGGGAAAGCTGAAAAACCGATTTTAAAAAAGAAACGAGGCGAAAATGGAGCGAAAGGGGGGAGACGGAGGTGGGCGAAAAAGGGAAAACAGACGAAGAGAGGCCCGAAAAGAAGTTTTGCCCCCCCCCCCCCAATGTGGGGGGATTTCGAGCTCGTTTTCCAAGAGCGTGCGTATCCGTGCACTTTACACGCGTTTGCGTGAAAATGCGCACGTGGAGTGAAATCTTGCGCGAACGAATGCGCATGCGCGCGCGAACCGAAGAGCGCATTGATAAAAATTGATGGAAATTTACATACGTTTATACACACTTATAATTTAAGGTGACGTAAAAGGGCCATTTTGTATGTATATATATCTATCACGTAGAAAAGCATAAAATGGAAGAATTACAAATTAGAAAATGTGCAAATACACCTAACATCGTATATTTACCGTATTGGGGCTTCTTTTTTTATTTGAATTTAATGTAACATTACATTACAATTTTCCATAATTTAACTCGGACGCTGATTGTGATATTACGGAGAGAATGTAATTTTACAGTAATTTATCTCGGCATCAAAACAACCAACGATTGAGTATGTAAATTTACAGGGGCAGTTTTATTAGTGCGAGGAGAGACGCGGCGGGGGCGGCTCAATTTTTTACCACAACGGGTCGAAAAGGAGGGAAAATAGAAGAAAAGGAGGAAAAGCGGAGGAGGAAGAAAATGAAAAATCGGGAAAGGGAGAAAAAGCGACGCCGAGATCGGCCGAATTTGGAGAATGGTGGAGCCAAAATGGTCGGTTTGGAAGGGCTCGGCCGATCGATCGGATGTCGTCCTTTTGTTCTTTTCGACGGGGGATAGAAATTATTATTTTTTTTTTTAAAGGGGAACTCTTCTGGTCCCCCTCGCTCGACCCTGTTTATTCCCCTCTACAGTGTGTCCGTTTTAAGAACGAACCCTCTGGATCCGGCTACAAAATATATGGCTAGAATAAATAAGAATGCTTTATTTAAATATTTGTATCTTAAGGGTAGATATCTATCTTCGAACTTTTATATCATACGGTGAAATTTTTGGCGGAGGTGTTTAAATATTAAGATAATATATTCCCCTCTACAGTGTGTCCGTTTTAAGAACGAACCCTCTGGATCGGGTGATAAAAAAAAAGATGGCTTGAATTCGGAAGAGGTTAAAATTTTAACATTTGATTTCCCTTCAATGACCCTTATTGAAAAATTACTGTTAAGTCGTATATAGGAGCGATGTTGGATTAAATATCCTAAGGAGAAATATTGAAATGGAAAACAGGGGTATAAAATGAATTGCGTCGCTTTTATCCAGCTATGTAATGATTCGTTTATTTTTTAATCGGACACCCTGTATAATCTGACCCTCCTCTGTCGCGACATCTCTTCAGGATATAGAAGGGGACAGGAAAATTGGCAAATGCACAGCTGATTTTTCGCAAGGGTTCGACATCTCGTGTACTTGCACGTCCGCCAATATATTTGCTACAACGCCGATCGACTCGTCGGGAAATATTATCCATCGATTATTACGTTCTACATAATCCTCTTACTTCAATTTCAATGTCCACTAGAAAAAAAAAAAATACCCTTGAAATATTTGGCATTCTAACAAATTGCGTTTAATTACGTCTTCTTTCGGTAATTGCTGACACAGCTAAAAAATTATTAACAAGGTGTACGGAATTTTTCCGACGACAAATTTTTATCGAGAACAAGGAAATCGAGATTTTCATCAATTTCCTTTTGAACCGCGGATTTTTCCCCGTAACAAAGAGCCATCCATTACTCAAATGAATACATTTTTCTCCGGAAATATTATCCAGCGATTATTACATTCTACATCATCCTCTTTCTTCAATTTCAATTTCCACTATAAAAAGAGGGCATTCTAACAAATTACGCTCAAATTTGTATTCTTTCGGTAATTGCTGACACAGCTAAAAAATCATTAATAAAGTGCACGCAATTTTTTCGACGACAAATTTTTATCGAGAACAAGGAAACCGAGATTTTCATCAATTTCCTTTTTAGCCGTGGATTTTTCCCCGCAACAAAGAGCCATCCATTATTCAAATGAATACATTTTTCTCCGGAAACCGAGGAAGACTATCGATCAGGCGTTGAACTCTCTCGAGCGGAGGAAAAGCGCGATTTGCAGGTTTCGGTAACTGGGTCGCGCACGCTCGAGGATTTTTTCCGAAAACCAAAGTGAAATTCATGCGGCCCACCCTTGAGGCTGCAACAGAGTTAGAAAGTTAGCAAACGAGACGCCACGTTTGAGCGTACCTTGAATTGCCTTGATTGCTGCTTCCAGTTTCTAGAGGAACCGGCAATTGAATCGGCGATTCAACGCGCGCAGTATGGAGATCAAGCTGAAAAGCTCCAAGGG